TCCCGAAAACCTAACAATTGACGCACCTGTTGACTGCTGGAACCAAGGCCACCTGCCAACTATCATATCTTTACCAATAATGTGACTAGCATCTAGCGAACACATTACACCTCTGCCAACAGGCCCGTGGTGTTTGTCGCATAGAACGTGTTAGTGCCCCATCTGGCCACTCTGTTCCAAAACCTTTGCATTTTGCCTACCATCACCTTTGACGTAGTCAATACTTCCGCCCCATACAGCAGCGTGGGCAGTAAAATCCCCTTTACCAGCCTCCTCGCCCCATACAGTGCAAGGATCTTCCCTGGCATTAACAGTCTTTTTATCCTCCAAAATGCCACTTTTGCCAACTATAACCTTTTCTGGAAATGAGAGCTGGTTTCCCCATTGTCAGCCAACCAGTACCCCAGCCATCTGACAAGGGTGCCGGCGGGGACCAGGGTGCCAGCGGGCCTAGGCCTGAGCGTTGCGACTACCGTACTTGTACAGCATCCTAAGAGCGGTATCGTTGAGCCTCATTCTGTTAAGATAGGACGTTTGGAATTCCCTCTCAGGATACAGGGGGCAACCACCCCGAAAGCATTAACTTTTCAGCTCCCTGCTGAGACCAATATAAAGAAGCATGATATAATAGACATCCTGATTGTAGAATGGGGGTTCGGTTATTCCAGTTCTTTCACTAGGTTCCCACTACTTGACCATTTATAAAGTACCATATTCGGATGCTTTGGCGTCAATGTATAAATAAGCACTTAAACATGGAATCTTGGCGCCAAGGCATCCGAATACTTTATGAATGGTCAAGTACGCTTAGTTTACCCCCACAGGATGTTCAAAAATCAATAGCAATTTCCCGTCGCAATATAGTTTGCTATCTCTCTCGAGAAGTACGCGAGTACTGACGTCCTCAGCCATGAAAATCAGGAGCATTGTGCAGTTCTCGGACATGACTTAACTACAGTTGGCCGCTCGTTGTGCCTCGTAGAAATACAGCGGAGCCGTGCAAAAATGGGGTAAAAGGAGTGGACTTGGGGTGTGAGCATGAGTCTATCAGTGTTTGGCTCATCCGACGAAAGTACTGTATAATACTGCGTATGGCCGTTTTTTCCGTAGTTGCTTGGCCAATCTGGGTTGATTTTTGGGAGAGCAGGAAAGTCTGTCGAGCTTCTCTCCCTCGGTGGCTGGACAGATCCCGTTCTCGAGTGGTCGACTAGAGGGTTCGGCAGACCGGCCCTTGGTACCTTGGCCATGAGGGAGCATTCACGTCTCCTATGTTGATACCCTCCCACCAAATTACATGTTCGAGTAAGTAAGGATTTTGTGATCTGGGCTTTGCCATTTCTACTATTAGTGGACATGAGAATCTCCTGCAATGGTGTGGGAGCACTTGGGGACTCGGTTTAAGTGCCTTGAATTTTTATCGCGGCCTGCTGAAAATTTCCTATCCCAGCAGTTCAAACTGGCTGCAAACTGCAGCAGCCCTCCCAAATCTTGGCGTGTTTGTCACAATACCCCATGTTTCACTGATCGAAAAATAGATGTGATTGGACAATCTCAGATCCTATAAAGCTACGAAAAACATCGTTTCTGGTGTAAAATGCACGACTAACAATTAATTATCCCACCGAGTTGTAGATTCCGGTTGAGTTTCCTTCACCTTGTATGTGACCCTGGTCTGTATTGGCGTTAGTTGACTCGTGTTCACGTATGGATGTATCCAACCACTGGGCTAAATCCCGTTGACAGAGGGAAGAGCGTGGGTGGTTCAAGGCTGATGAGAAGGAAAAAAGCAATCAAAGGACTTTCCCCCAAAACGAGATATCCATGTTCGTGACTTCTCGATTACTTTCATATCTGGTCGGAATATTCGGGATGGGTTCTGATATGATAGCTCCCCCTACTTTGTATGATAGACTCTGTGGTTACGGTATCCCGGGTTAGGGTTACCTTACGTTTTGCGCCACTCTTTCTTTTCTTTTCGCACGACGCCATCGGAGGTGAGACCACCCGCCATATTCTCTTTTCAGTTTCGATATGTTTTGCAGTTCTGTTAATTCAATTTCCCTGTCCACTTCACCTGCTGTCTAGTCCCGCATAGCCGTCGTTAACCACTATGGTAGGTGAGACTCTGGCATGTCACATTCTCTCTGAATATCACTCGGGAGATCACTAGTCACTGGTCTTGACGCTTTGCCTCCGCTAGCTTTGCAATAGCTGGAAAAGTACATTTATGTATTATGTGAGTCCATAGTCTGTTCAAATGGAATTGTGGGCTGCGATACTGTACTGCGGTACTGTACTGCCTTGCAGGTCCGGAAAGTATTGGACCGCAAGCACGGGGACATGCGATATCACTACGGATATTTGCGGTACATGTCCGGGGTTTGTACACATCTTGAGGAGTACCCCTTCATCTAAGACAAACGGCCATTTGTACACTGTGTACGGCAGCATGTTTCCTGGACGGTTTCATGTTGCCGTTAATAGGGTTGTGGTTACGTTGGAGGGTGCTTTGTCACTTGTGGGAATATTCTAAGGCTGTACGAGGACCGTGATTGGGCCGGATTTTGTCGGGAGTGGATCCATCTCCTTTGCGGGGATCGTGTATGGCCGGTGCCGCGATTTGTTGGGGAGTATATATCAAGGCTGCCTAAGTGGTGATTTCGGACGATATCGTATGAGTGACGGGTTTTGTGGATGACTAGAAAAGGACAAAAAAGGGGTGAAGAAGAAGGGATAGAAGATTGGGGGTTTTGCTGCTAATTTAGGCTCAGTGTGCGGGCTTTTTTTGGCTTTATGGTTGGGTACCAATCTCGTGCTCTATCCATACTAGTGTTTGGGGGGAGCACAGTCCACTCGAATGACAAATATCATGGTGCAGAATTAGTAGCAAATATTGTTACCATCTTTTGGTTCAGACATGGCATCCTGAGGGTGCAAAGAGCTGTAACCTCTGTGGCATTATTTCAGTACAATGTTATGAGTTACTGTAGTCTTATATCATACTATGTGCTCTAAGAATAGGATCGAAAAGAGTAGGGTTGGAGGGAAACCGCACAGGCCAGAAGATGGGAACCGAAATGCCAACACGGCGCGGAGAAATCAGGTTCCAGAGACAGGCTCCCGTCTACCGTACAAGGTCTGTACAAATCGTGGTGAGCATCCATGAGTACAATATAAGTACTCCAATAATCAGAATCTGGGAAACGGGGGGCTAAAGGTGACTGCCAGCTCTTGGCCGGAACTTTTGACCCAAGGTAATACTGTAGCAGGATACAGATGGTATCCCTCGGGATTCACGGAATATGGAACCCAAGTAGTGGTTGTATCATACAACTCCAAGTTGTGGCAGTACCGTACTCATGATAACTGGTGAGGTTTATCGCCTAGCTATTGGCTTAGCTTCTAACTTAAGGAGCGAGGATGGGGCCCTGGAAACCGCATAAATATACTGGGAATTGTCAAACTGGGCTGGATAGAGATAATAAATTTTGGCCATTACAGCAGGTGATTTGGGAAGTCGTACTGATATAGCCAGTCACTCTAGTCCAAACAATTTTGGGGAACCATACGATTCTTATAATTAATCCCCTCGTTTGCATTTAACTGGCCGGTATTCCTACTTTTTTTTTGGTTAAATATATGAGCCAAATAATTGACACTATGAACTTCATGCGAGGCTACTCGTAAGTGCGGTGTTCATTTGAACATATTGTACTACGCTGAAGTGAGACAACCCCCGGTACAATTCATCCCATTCAATACTTCAACCCGGATGGAAGTGATGTCACACAGTCCCATAATCCCTGTACCTCGCCAAGATGGACCCTGCGGTGAGCCCGTGCACAGTTCTCAGACGCCAACACAAACACAAAACGAGGAAACATCCTACCAGAACATTATCCAACCCGAATCCCTAACAAACTCGAGATATCTTTATACATTTCCAATTCTCACCAACAATTTGGCAAACAATGGCTGGGTGGGAAGATAGGGGGAGGCTGGGGGGTGTATTTACTATCCCGCTCTCCTCTCCTTCTCACCTTCTCCGCTCTGTCATATCCAAGGCGGAAGACCCCTATTCTGAGTATATGATTTCCACTCCTTGATCTCTGCTTGTCGAGTCTGGTGTGAAGCTTTGGTGAGTCTTCGTTCATCTCCCCGATTCCATGATTGTTTTACTTCTGTTCCGGACCTGCTAACAATATCACTAGGTTTCTCGCCGTTATTTTAGAGCAACGATGGCAGACGTAATGGACCTAGTAACCTCCTCCGGCTACAAATGCGATGCTCAATCCCCGTCATACCAAGAGCTCCACCAGCAGCTTGGTGGCCCCTACCCAGGAGATCCAACGACTCCCACGCCATCCACACGCAACGGCAGTTTCCCCCCAGAATCTTCCGCGATGGCAGAAGCTCGCGCAAGGAGCTACCAGAATAGCAATAACAATAACGATCCTCAACATAATGGTAATACCCAATATCACAACAGAGAGAATCTACCAGAAGGTGGGGAATACGATTTCGGCTTTTCCAGTCTTCCCAATAAATTTTGTCGTTTTCTCGATCTTGAACGTTAAACTGACCATCGGTTGGCAAAAGAGCCTCCACCGCCACAGATGCAGACTGCGGATGAGACATTCGAGGCGGATGATTGTACAGTGCAGCTCGTCCCTTTACCGGATGGGCCCGCACGTATTGCGGGTGGGGGGCCGGAGGGGGATAAGAGTAGTAATAATAACACTGGCGCCGTGGCGGTGCGGGGAGAGACAGAGCCGATAGTCATTGAGCTTGGGCCGGTGAGTATGGGTGGTGCTGACCCTGTTCAAGGAAAACTTAGACTTGAAGGAGGAGAGGGGGGGTTAAATGTTTTGGGGGGTGGGATGAGGGAGATGGTGGATTTGGTTAATAGACTTAGAGCTTCTGGGATCGAGGATTTGGGGTTGCCGTTGCCTAGAATTGCGGTTGTGGGCAATCAGAGTGCTGGGAAGAGTAGCTTGATTGAAGCTATTAGTGGGGTAAGCTCTGATACCCGGTGGGTCATAGTATATTACTGGAGTACCGGAGCTAAAATTTGGGTGATCAATTAATAGATCAAAGTCCCTCGGTACACCGGAACATGCACTAGGGTAGACAATCCGGCCCGATTAGAGAGAAATCTTATTGACAAACATCATAGTGCCCTCTGGAAATCAATCTCCGTGAATCATCACTCACTACTGATCCGTGGCATTGTCGCATATCCCTCCGCTTCAAAAAACGATACGATCCTTCCCTAACCTTCTCCAACCACCATCATATGAGCACGAGTCGCACACGCGGAAACCCGTGGGTCGATCAAGTAACCGAACAGGTCCATTTTCTAGACATAACCAACAAGGGTCAGGTGGAGCCCGCACTCGTCCGCGCCCAACGTGCGATCTTAACCCCAGGGCAGAATTGGCGTGAATTTGTTCACGAGGAAAAGGAAAAACCTGCTGACGGTACCGCTCCTGAAACGGGTAATGCAAGAAGCGGTTGGTTTGGCCATCCCCAGAGAGCTGGTGGGGGGTGGGGAAATTCCAACGATTCTAAGGGAAAAGGCAAAGTAGTGGAAAAAAGAATTGGACGAGATGAGGATTTTGAAGTGAAATTCAGCCCGAATGTGGTTTGTATGGAGGTTTGCATCACCTACTTGATCCTCGGGTTGCTGGACAGCAGACAGTGAAGGCAAGAGTGAAAGCTTATAGTTGTAGATTACTGGGCCCGAGTTGCCGAATTTGGCGTTCATTGATCTGCCGGGGGTTATTCAGACAACTGAGTCTGTGGGTTGCTTCTTTTCAATTTTACTAATGATAAGTGCTGATGGTGCAGTAGGAAAGCGAACATTATCTTATCGAGCTGGTTACAGGATTGGTGAAGGAGTACGTTCAGGAGGAGGATTGCTTGATCATGCTTGCTATGACGATGAAGGGTTTGACTGGGCTTCCTGTTGACTTCACGGCGTATCTTGCTAATAGCTTTAGATGATGCCGTGAACCAATCGGCTGCGCGCCTTGCTAGAGAGCTCGGGGAGGAGCGCACTATTGGTAGCCGTTTTCCTTTGTGGTTTGTTTAAGTGATCTAACCTCGTTTGTAGGTGCTCTAACTAAACCCGACACTGTGGGGCCTGGAGAGTACGGGCAATGGATCAACATCCTCCGCGGTCACTCTCATCGTCTCAAGCATGGCTATTTCGTGACGAAACAGCCGAACCAAGAACAGCTCGTTCAGGGGATCACACATGCCCAAGCGAGAGAACAAGAAGCAGAATTCTTTGCCAATACCGAGCCATGGAAAACGGAGCTGACTGATTTGAAAGAGAGGTTCGGAACAATGGCTTTGCAGAGCTACTTGTCGAAAGAACTTGGGGAATTGATCAAGAAACGGTAACTTCAGATCAAATTTCAGATATCCGGATACTAACGTCATAGACTGCCGGAGATAGTTGAGTCTATCAGAGGTCAAGCATCAGAGGTCCAAGATGAGCTCGCTGCTCTTCCTCCTCCTCCCACTGACAACCAAACCCTGATTGTGCACAACCTCGTCACACAATTCGATACCTTCGTCGGCGGCCACCTACTCGGCGGCCCCGGTCAGAACGAATTCCAACAAGAACTCCGCCGTCTAGCAGAAGACTTCCAGCGCCGTCTGAAAGCACTCCGTCCAACACCAGTCTACTTCCAAACCATAGAGCAGGAGAACGAAATCGCAGCACAACTAGAAACTCCTAGGAAAGGTGAAGCAGGCACACGCCCCCACCGCTGGGATCGTGATGGCTCACCAACGCTCGCAGCAGCTGGAAGACGGGGAAGAAAGGCAGGAGGAGCTGGGGTAGAGGTTTGTACAGTATCCAGTGACACCGAAGGAGCGACCGGGACGGGAGGGGCAAGTTCCTCACCGTTCGGGTCCAAGAAGAGAAGAAACGGAACTGATCCAGGGCAATCCACGCCGACAAAGAAGTCCAAACGAGCCTCCGGAGCAGCGGCGGGCAACAACACAGCGATAGAACAAAGCAAGTCCTTCCCCATCGTGACCACGGCCTCCTCCGGTCAAGCCCCGCTAATGCTCTCCCAAGCCCACAGACTCACACTCCCACAAATCAGACACATAATCGAGTCAACCGCTACTGCCCACATACCCGGCCAGGTCGATCCCACGGCAATCACAAACCTGATCCGTCAATCCATAAATCTCTGGAACCCTGTGGTGCACGAATTCCTCAATAACTGTGGTGGATTGATGAACAGACAAGTGCACTACTGCTTCACCTATGTCTTCAAGGAATACCAGAAGTCCCCAATTTTCCAAGGCGTGTATGAGATACTTAATACCCTGGTCCAGGAAAACTTTGACCACCAAAAGACTGTCATTGAACGGCTATGGCGGTTGGAGCGAGAGCAGATATCAACGTTGAACGAAGACTACCAAACATTCATGGCAAACCACCACGAGAAGCTCTCCGAACGGCGGAAACGCAATTTGGAAGACCAGCGTAAACTCGCCGCCGCTAACGCTGCTGCAGAGGCGGCCATGAATGAAGACAACAACCCTGGCGGTGGCGGATCCACCCCTTCCCCACGCAAAAAGCGAAACCCAACGGCAGCTCTCCCCGCAGCAATGCTAGACAACTCGCCCGACCCGTACAGGAAGGAAATCGAAGTTTTGGCACAAGTCAGGGCCTACAATGAAGTTGCGCAAAAACGCTTTGTGGATAACGTCTATATGAGCATACAAGGGGAACTGGTCAACGGCTTCCGCGGGAATATCCTGGACGCCCTGCAGAACGGATTGGGGCTTAATGGGCCAGATGGTATCCCTCACCTTTTCTTGCCAATTTCGAGTGTGAACTGATGAGTGGTATGGTTGGCGGGGGGATAGTATCCGAGTTGTGCACCCAACTACTCGTTGAAGACCCCCTCAAGGAGCGTAGGAGGAAGGAGTTGCAAAGCAAGAGGGAGCAGTTGGATAAGGCTATGGAGGAATTGAGTAGATTGTGATTTGGGCCCAACTCAGGGAGATGAGATTGCTGGGGAGGGGGGGGGATAGTTCATTTTTTTGTTTCCGTTTCCCCGCCTTTGCCGTTATGTTTTTGAAGGACTAGCTTGATGTATCTTTTACAAACTTAGGAATTTTTTCTTTACAACTCACTCATGCTACACTAGCTTACGGCCTCGGTTCCATTTAAATTCATGCGTCTATCATGCGGGCCACCGTGACCCTCTCTGCTCGAGTGCTCGGGGGGAAGTATTGGAACATTGGGTAGGTGGCCCTGAAACAGTAAGACATCCGAAATTTAAAATTCCTATTCAAATGTTTTTGAGAAGAATAAAAGAATTATCATACCTACGGTATTTGTTGGCTTGGCCACTGGCCAATCTAGAAGGTATTGTAACAGGACGCTTTGCTCAACAAGTACCGTATCATACCGTATTAGTTTAATCGAGGCCAAGGGGTCCGGATACGGAGATGCCGTTATTTTACTTTTCAGGCATCAACTACTCGAGTACGGTACCGTACTACGAGTAGTACTCTCGCGAAGGAATTTTCGCACTGCCCTCCCCTCCATATCCCTGTTCGTTCAATAACAGAAGAGCCGGGGGAGGTGGGGGGACACGTGCGATGCGCAGGGATGTTCACAAACCCTTACAGATGGTATCGCATCGTATGCTGCTGCACAAACCAGTAAGGTACGGTAACCTCACAACGACAGGAGAAGGAGAAAAAGAATTCCTGCGTACTCGGGGAGTCGAACCCCGTTCTCCCGCTTGGGAAGCGAAAATCATAACCGTTAGACCAAGTACGCTTGCTGTCTAACAACGCTTTCTCCGGGAATAAAGACTTATTCGCAGGGGTTATGCAAACCAATGTGGGAACCCTAACCCCGCGCATGCTGGAGACTGTGGGGTGCAGGATGCGCACATTGCACTGTACGTGCTGCGTGGGATGGGAGGTGAAGGATGGGAAAAGTAAGTTGAGTGTTTTGGGTTCCTTTTCCCCTTCTGTTTGAATTTGCTGGATAAGTTCCCCCGTTGACGGCTTGGGCGATTGCCCTTATGGGATTCATACGATGATGGTGCTGATGATTGATCCCGTCTCTTGTTCATTGTGCCTCGAGCTATGCATGGTACGGTACTTGGGTGAGGACTGGTTTTCCGCAGGCCGGGTGTTCGGTGGGGAGTGGAGCTTTTTTTAGGTACTAACTTAGTCAGTGTCGTAGTGCTTTTGTGGAGGAGGAGACTGGTGCGGTAGATATTATGGAGGGTGGGCTGGGTATCCTGAGCGAAGTATCGGCTGGAAGCTCGTCCTATATATCGCTATGATGTCGTGGGAAAATTTATTAGGTTGAGGTGGGGGACACTGGTACCATGGCTCTGATAAAATTTTGTATTAGACGGTATCTGTATCATACTATAGGATAATCCCTGCCAGTAGCTTTTTTAACTATCATACTGGTAGGTAGATATCATAAAAGTCAGCTCGGGCGTCAGTTGGGAGGGCTCATTGTTCAGTTGGGTAATAAATTTATCTTACAGGGAAGGGTGTTGCCAACGGGTTAGGGGGTTTCACACGGTGGTCGTGTTTTCTGCGGCTCTGGTGTGCGTTGTGGATGGTGGGGCACACAATGGAGGCCTCTCCGCGCATCAATTACAATACTAGTACCCGGAAGGGATTGACGTGGTCTTGCCATATTTTCGCTCTGGGATCCGAATTTTTCGGGATGTGGACTGCTCCCACTTCCTCCCGGCTGTTGTGCCGGGTTGGCGATGTCTCGTTGGCCAGCGAATCTATGGCATCAACCTCCTTGTTCAGGTTTGAAGGGTTCGGAAATTTAAATGTGGAAACTTGGGTGCGATAGACAAACCCCGAGTCCATGATTATCTACTGGGGAGAGCAAGCAAGTGCCATTCTTGGGGTGGAGACACTCGGGCATCTCTCTTGGCTGGAGGGGGGGTGCATTCCATAAAGGATCATATCCTCATTCGCTTTCCTATGAATCATCACGGCCTGGAAATTCAGAAACTCCTAAAGGAAGTCCATCTTCAATGTGGGGGGGGGGTCTTGGAGGGTAATGTGTGATAGTTATCGCTTCGGAGCGGCTTTAGCGATAGGCGAGACCGGGCGACCAGTAGCAGAGTTGTGGCGTTGTTTGTTGTGGGCTGTTCTGCCTGCTGTTTTTTGGGGGGCATCGTATCATGGATTCAGGCTTTCATGAGAAGGATGGCCAGTCTGGACTTTGTATGATAACCCATTCTTTCATCGCTCGCGATTGTGAATTTCGCTTGACGGAGTTAAAAAGGCTTGGGCCGTAGCTTTCCGATTATGTAAGCGAAGCTCGTCTGACAGACCCTGAAGTAAGGTTTGGTGTGCTGAACCTCTTCCTTAGTTCCTGCTCTAATTACCTGCATCCTTCCATCTCACTCTTTCTGGACACTCTGACTAACTACCACCACCACAGCCACTTCCAGTGGGAACTCTCGGGGGCCTTTGAACCCCAACTCCCGGAACCTCATTGTCGTCTTTCTCATCCACCAACTAGCTGTCCCTTCCCTACGTATCCCCGGACTCGGCCTTTCGCCTGCGTTTGTGCATTTGGTTTGCTTGAAAGAGGGGAGAGAGCGGTTTGGCTGCGGTTATGGCGCCGGAGAGGGGTCGGAGCTCGCTCTCCCACGAATATTCAGCCTTGCCCAGTCATGCTCCTGAGATAATATCCGCAAACACGGAGTTCATCAGGTCACACGGCAAGATTGAGGCCTTGGTGACGGCGGAACGCACAAGGAATTTCGAAGGGCTTGTGAGGCGGTACATCAAACAGCTGCTCTACGGTTGCCAACGAGCTCATTGCGATACTCCCACTTGTTATACGGCGAGGAAGAAGCTATCGCGTGACACCAACGCATCGCGGAAGTTCAGTGTTTTATCGGCGAGGATTATTGCTTGCCAGCTTGCCACGCAGGATGATCCCTACAAAGCCTTGTGTCCGGGCAAGCTGGTGACGCCTGTCTTGTCCGGACCGGTCGAAGGGAAAGGGGATGGGTTGTCGAGGGATAGTAGCTTTCGGGAGGAGATTGCCGAGGATGGGGAGGATACGTCGAATAAGGAGAATAAGGAGGCGCCTGCTCGGCCGGTGAAGGAAGCTTTGAAAGAGGGCGAGGTCGAGGTGATTACGGATAAGGGACTGAAGGATCCAAAGTCTTTTCAGCAGCAGTTGTTCAATACGAAGCCGTTCAAGATGCTGGAATGGATTGGGTTGCCTCCGAATGTTGGCATTATGAAGTTTGCCGATGAATCCACTGCTTCACCTGCAAGGACGCCAACGCGGTCGTCCGACTTTAATAGCGAGCGAGATGTTGCCACGCCAGCTTTGCTTCATGAGCAGCCTCCGAGATTTAGAGATTATTCTAACCCGATGGAGCTTATAGATCTCGGGAAACTAAATAAAGAGTCGGAGCCTGTATCGCATCATAAGCACCAGGAGATACTACAGCAACCGCCGGTACCACCACGAAAACGCCGGTCGTCAAATGCCTCCAAGGCAGCTCTTAAGGATGTAACCCCAACGCCTCATTCAAACGCTAGATCTAAAATGACTGCCGCCGGTGGCCGGAATTCTAACATGCCCCCCCCACCGATAGGTCCTCACCTCCACCATAAATCAAAGATAGCAAATTCTCATCCTCAATTAACTCCTTCGAGATCCGAAAAACATTCACTGACAGCACAGTCACTTATGACAGAGGACGAGGATTTGACACCCCAATCGTTAACAAAGCTGGATAAGGAGATTTGCGCTGCACTATTGAAGATGTGCACAGATCCTACCGTAACCGGTGCGCAGTCCCGGGATGCTACTGTGTTTGCGAAGCAGAGTCTGTTTTACGTTTTTAGCACCTCAGAAGCATTACTCGAGTCTTTCGTATCGGAGAAAGCAGGGTCTGGCTCAGATATCGACCTCAACTTGGACGATATGGATCAAGCTTTCCAGATGTTGTTCGAGAATGAAGCTTGGGGAGCGCAGGTTATGCAAGGGCTTTGGATCGGACTGGAGGCAGTTTTCAAAATTCCTGGTGAGGAAGGACGGTTATCAGATAAGGACACTGCCCGTGTCATATCGATAGCTTTACACGCTCTCGCAGCCGCAGTGCCCCGGAGCACGCCGGAAGAGTGGATGGCCGTTCGGAAGCTTAGGGGGAGTGGCAAAGTCAGTGAAGCGGGGACTGTTAGTGAGATCTGGTTCGAGGATGAGATGGCGGAAAGACTCATGCGGCGGGTGGTCAGGGCGGTTGCGTATAGACATTCACGTGGGGATCAGGTTGCGCTTCGGCTTCAGAGGCATTTCCGAAATTGTAGCATGTTTCAGTTTGAGCAACGGAGAGAGCGGTTAGCTAGGGAAGTTGGGGAGGGTTTGGAAAATGCCTTTGACCAGGAGAGGGGTGGCTGGGGTTTGGGAGTTTGCACTTTGGAGTGGTGTAGAGCTATTTTGTTGAAAGCTTGGGATGGCCAGGAAACTACTCCTATGGTCGGTGTGGTCGGGTGCTGCTTAGTATTGATGAAAATCCTTTGTAAGCCTTTCCAATTCCGGTGGGATGAGTGCAGCTAACGGCGAGATTTAGATGATGACCATCAATCGTACGGAATTGACCAAGAATTTTTTCATACACGGGCGCTCTCAGACCGATTTGACCCCAAGGATGTTCCGGTTCAATGGTTTGACAGCGAACCGAAGGCTGGAGTTCTCCATTTTCTCGACTATGCCTTCCTTTTCCCGGAGAATTTACGAGTGACCTATTTCCGCGCCGTGAATCTCGCGCACATGACGAAAGCGTATGAGCAATCCATGACCATGCAGCGGCTGACTACCCAGATGTCGATGAACACTGCCCTTTTGGATCCTCAAGACGAGAGACTAGATCGGCGGATGCGCATCCCGCTCAGCAGCTATCTTCTCGTAGAAGTTCGACGAGAAACTGTTCTTCAGGATGCGCTGAACCAGGTGTTTGGGAGGGAAATCCGGGAGCTAAAACGGCCATTAAAGGTCCGATTCGCGAATGAGGGTGAGGAGGGCGTGGATCACGGAGGTGTGCAGCAGGACTTCTTCATTGTGGCAATTAGAGAGGCTCTAAGGTCTGATTATGGACTGTTTACTACGGATGAACAGACCAGGATGAATTGGTTTAGCGTTACGCCTATCGAACCCATTCACAAATATGAACTTCTGGGTCTTTTGGTTGGATTAGCGGTCTACAATGGTGTCACTTTACCCATAACCTTTCCCAAGATCCTTTACAAAAAGCTTCTTGGCGGGAAGGCGGAAGGCTTGGAAGACATCGAAGACGGGTGGTGCCAACTTGCGAAGGGCTTTAAACAACTTCTGGAATGGAATGACGGCGATGTTGGTGACGTTTTCCTTAGGACGTATGATTTCTCGTACGACTTTTTCGGTCAGGTCAAGTATGTGAACATGCTTAGGGCCAAGGAAAACAAGGTTGAGTTCTTGGACATCAAGCTCAATAAATTGAGGAAAGCCAAATCGAAACTCGAGACGATGCATGAATGGTTGCCAGCGCCATCTTTGAGCGACGAGCAGGATCGGTGGCTGGGTGGGTTGAACGATGTGCTTGATGACATTGTTCGGAATGATGGCTCTTCCTATCATGTTACAATTAGAGAGTGGCCGGGTGATGATGGCGGTGAGGTCGGTGAGGAAAGGGATGCGCTAGAAGAGGGTGAGGCGAGTGGTGCTGGTCTTGGGCAAAGTGGGGGTGAGGAACGACCAAGTGACAGGTCGCTCGCGCTAGCCTCATCGGAGGCTATCGAAGGCGGGGAAACCAATGTGGCGTTAGAGAATGGGGGGGGTCAAGGGACCGAACCGCTGGAATTTGATATTCAAAATGATGGCACTGAGGATGATGTCTTCCGGGACGCGGGCGAGGAAGCCGAGACATCACCAACGAAAGATGATAATGATGGCGCGATGGGGGGTTTCCGGGAGCAGTCACAAGTGCAGGAGAAGGGGAAAGAGGTTGCACATGTTTCATTTTCTCTAGAGCTATCGGAAGAAGTACCCGCTGCGGAAGATCCCCTGCGCTCGGACGAACAAGAGCCCAAAGAGGAGGCTCCCCTAGTCACTAACGAGAACCGCGAGGCTTTCGTAAGGGATTACATATCCTGGCTAACTGACCGCTCCATCCGTCGACAATATCAAGCTTTCGAGAAAGGATTCTTTGCCGTTATTGACCGAAAGTCTCTGTCCGTGAGTTTACTCTCCCCTTTGCTTTATTTACAACCACTCTGGTCTTTGCGAAACGGGATTTCTCTTTACCCGCGGAATGGGCCCTTTCCCCATATAGACTCTAATTGTTAGAGAGGGACTCCGTTCCATAGGAGGCTTTTGTTAGGTGACATACGGCTTGACTTGCTAACAAATGCTAGCTCTTTACACCCTCAAACTTCCAATCCCTAACAGAAGGCATCCAAGATATCGACATCTCAGAGCTCGAAAAGGCCGCCCGCTACGAAGATGGCTATAGTCCAACCCACCGTGTAATCAAGGACTTCTGGGCGATCGTGCGCGGCTTCTCTGCCGAGCGGCGCCGCCAACTCCTGGAATTCGTCACGGCCAGCGGACGCGTGCCCGTCAACGGGATTTCCAGCATCATGTTTGTGATTCAGAGGAATGGGCCGGACAGCGATCGTGTACCCACTAGTCTTACGTGCTTTGGGAGACTGCTGTTGCCGGAGTATTCGCGGCGTGCAAAGTTGAGGGATAAGTTGAAGCTTGCCTTGGAAAATGGGAAGGGGTTTGGGGTTCCTTGAGAGGTTGTTTATCTCTTGTTCCAGCCCTTTTCTCTCTTCCTTTTCTGCTCGTCCATCGGATGGTGGGGGCTGGCTGGCTGGTGGCGGGGTTTTCTTTGCTGTTTGTCGCCATGGGTCGGTTTTCCTTAGGCCGTTTGGGGACTTCGCTTATGGGGTTAGCGTGTCAAGTTGGTAGATATCATGCTTGTCCTCTCTTGCTTTTTCTTTTTTTTCTTCTTCTGTTGTCTTTAGCTTTTGTGCTGGTCGTATCTCTTGTGGAAAAGTTGCGCTTTGGAATCTTTAGAGTTGTAATTTGATGGGTGGATATATGTATTGCGCCGGCAATTCGAATTTACAGAGAATGGGGGGGAGGGGCGTTTGTAAGATGGCCGTGGATGAGATTGTGACCGTCGCACGCACATGGCAATAGATCTGATTATTTAGTTGGGTGGCCTACAAGCATAGTCGAATAACAGCGATACTATCCGAATGCTGCTCGTGCCCAATCCACCCTACCTGGCCCAATATCCCAAAAAACCACATCTAATAACATATAGTGGAAAACACTCCAAGAAGCGAGTTCTTAAGTCACGGTATCTTGCTGGTGGACACTGCATATGTGCCGCCAAGATAATATATTGGATCAAGATATCTTGCTGTGTTGTACTGTACTCGTACATTACCCCTAACCCCCCCATCCAAGCTAACAATCCCTACAAGTCTCCTCCCCTCCGCTGGAACCCGTAGCTGTTCGTTGGGGGAGACGGCTCTAACGCCGAGCAGATACCAAATGCAGTCAAAAGCCGAGCCCGCCATGATCAATACCAGATGCGTGCCCGCGTTTCTATTTCCACCCTCTCGCGACGTCCCAATCACCACGGAGGCAGTGTGAGTCTTGCTGCAACGAAGCCGGGCTCGCTCTCGCGGTGGACCCATTGTGATCGCTGTTTTGGTCCTTCGGTTCCGTTTCCTTCCGTGCCTTTCGCTCTTTCTGGTTGGCCGGATGGCTGGTGGTCCTGCTGGTGGGGGGGGGTTCGGAAATATGGTGGATAGTACTGCTTGGGCAAGGCTGGAAATGGGAGGGTTGACTACTGTACCATATGGCATTTTTATTTTCTCTCCTTCGCACACCCCTGTCCTGCCCTGCTGCTGGGAAGCAAAGGGTGTTGTTGCAGCATGGTAGGGGACTCGCGGAGTTGTGCTGGATGCACAGTCGAAGATATCCGCCGGGTGTGGGTGTGACGGGCGGGAACTAGCTCGTTATGGCGTCTGGAGCTGGCCTGGAGCTGGCCTTCTCCTTCTCGCAATGCTGCGCCCGACGTTTTCGATCTTCTTTTGAATTTCTATTGACCCACAGACGTCACAGCCGGTCGACGGACTGGGATTTCTTCGGCGGAGACTGCCCGGACTTGCTGGAACACAAAAGCCGGTGGTGTCTAGACCGGGTGGTGTATGGAAGGGTTGTGTCTGTTTGGGGCCCTGAGCGGGTGAAGAGTGGCTTCCGAAGAGTGAGTGTGTACCGGGTTCGGTGCTTGGAAGCTCATACTGAGAGATATCCGTGAATCACCGGTTGTGAGTGGAACGTGTGAGTGATGGGTGGTGACCCATTGTGAGCTTGACGGGTTTCGATGGTTTCAATTTATATTGGAAAAACGTCGCCTGGTATGGTACAACGCTGTCGCTTCACCTTCCCGGGGTTTGCTATTATGCTTTCATGACATTGTTAAACCCCCGGCCGTTTAAAGTTAAGTCCTATCCGACACCTCTGTAGAGCCTAAGGAGGACGGAGAATCTTTTTTCTTTTTTGGAGATTCATTCTAACTTTGCATGGTGTACTGACGTGCGCTCGGCCCCGACTAAACCTACTCCGTGTTGATCCAAGAACCGCAATACGACTTCTGGACTTGGGAGTGTTCGTGATCTTCGAGGGGTTTTCGGTGGATATTGGCCTGCTTTCGCTTCGTTTCTGAACGTGCGATGGACGGGTTGGCGGGTTGCGAGTGGGTGCGGTGGGGGTGGGAGTGTTCTGGAATTGTACTGTTATTGGTATCCATGGGTTTGGTGCCGTCTTAGGTGTGGCGAGCGAACGCACAGCACGGTGGGGGGGGGGGGGTTGCGCTTGGGCACCGGTGTCATAGGTTGAAAACTAGTCTTAATATGGTTTGTTCCTGTATGGTCTTATCGGAAGTGATTTTCTGGACTTCTCACCGTAATTTCTAGACGACTCTTTTTCTCTGCTTTTCTGCTGTTGAATGTTAGCATTCTTGGAGAGTGTTATCCTTGTGTCGTGTATATATATGTAGTCTGGGGTTAGTATCGTGAGTAGTGGTGTAAGTTAGGGAGTTTTGTACCATGGGTCTGTACGAGTACTGTATATAACCGCAAAACAAGTTTTTACCGGAGGGTGTATCGTAGTTCTAAACTAGTTCCGGACCGTGAGCACCCACCTACCTGCACACGGAACTCTCAATTGAGAGTAGTAATAATAAAGATTAGTCTACAGTGATGACGTTTAGACACTCCCTAGAATTTCTCTTGTTCTACCGTGCAGGTGGGGGCACGCTGGGTAGAGATGCTCGAATGGGCGGATAATACTGCCAGCTTGACTTGAGGGCCTAAACATATTTCTTCCTCTTTTCCTCCTTCGCGGTCGACATTGTTCTTGTGAATTATTGGAGGAACAAATGGGGCGAGGTATCAGGATCGTTTCCGGTGGAACCCACTCGAGCTAATGACACTGGCAAACATGTTCTGGAAAGGTAGGGGGTTTTAGCTCTGGGGAGGGTCGCTCGTGTGTGACGAGGGGTCACTTTGGAGGCTCTTTTACTGTCTTGAAATATGGTTCTGGCAGGTATCCCCGGGGAACTTGTTAGATGTGCGAGGGTGATTGATGGTTGCTTGCTGTGAGTAATTTCTTGAAAGGGCGCAAGGCTTGAATTAGCGGAACTTTAATATGGGTAGAAATTGTAGGACTCTTCCTCCATATACAAGTCCTATACACCATGCTCCTAGTAACCTAAATTTTAACAGCACGCTACTTGTTAGCATTCCGCTGTCCCCCAATGGTTTCGCCATCCCCCTATGGCTCCCAAAGCCTTTATGGAGACCCTACTCCCCTGAAATCACCAGTTATGCAGTTAAGAAGGGTTGCGGTACAGGATACCTTCCACTGTATAGCCTTCATCGCTTCTGATCACTGCACATAGCGCCCGGTTGTGTCGTGAAGTAAGCAGTGGTATCTTGGTTAACACCCGGGCCTGTTAGGGCGTTGGTTAGGATGCTGCCAAATTTTGGTGTTTTAGTGGCACTGCGGGGGAGCGATCTATACGTGAGAACATTTTGGTGGGGTGGGGTGGGGTGTTTTGGCGGCGGGAGGGGTATATACGTGAGTGGAGATCTTCGACTGCTCTTTAATCCACAGCGATAGAAATATTAGTTGGGGGAAATGTTTTATGAGCGGAAAGAGTGAAGAGCACTATAGGGAAGAGTTCCCCTATATTGTATCAGCGTGGGTAGGAAATCTCATCCCAGAGGTTTGCATAATAGGTGCTGGCATCCGTTAGGACGCCCTGGGAGCAGCTACCAATATGCGAAGTAATGATTACCCATTCAATTCCGCACACCTGAGCTCCATTGCCAATTGTCCCCTGAGCGGTTGGCGATTGGGGGGAAAATTTTGTTGGGGCTCCTGATCTTGGTGTGGACGGGTATCGAGCCTTGGAGTTCGTTTTTTTGGTGTTGAGCTTGGTACCATTGCTGTTGGTTTGGCGGGTTGCTCATCGGGGGGAATGTCCGCTTGTGGAATTTCTCGTTAAACTACTGATTGCGGTTATATCTACTGCCTCTCCAGTACTCGGGTGTATAATTCTTGGGAATTATCGCCGAGGGTTCTATCGCCTTCGGCGAGAGGGGTAGTTGTCTGGGTTGTGGTTTCGAACCTGGAGTTACTTTGTTTCTTTCGCCTTATCGATCGTAAGCGAATAGTTTCTACCATTTTTCGGTCCTTCACCTGGGGAGCGCAAAGGGGAAAAAATATGGAATGGAGGTTCCTTCCTATCACCCAATTACCAGAGCACGTCCAGACTACCAGAACCAAATACCCGCGGAATCTTGAAAATTGGTATCACCAGGTTTGATCACACATATTCACATAATATATTACACTCAAGTCGAATTTCTCGGAAATGGGAAAAAAATAGAATTTTATTAACTGTTATTGACATCTGAGTTGAGCAAGTTCTACACCAGTATTATCTAGGAAACCCGAAAAGCAACTGGTTGAGGGTAGACTGTCGGTATTGGAGTGGATTTCGAAGTATAGATTCTCCTTTCAAAGTACCGGGTGGTGTTACGCCGGACGAGCTCGTGATTTTAGATTTTGGGTTCCGGATTGTTTTTTCTTCTTTCTGATGGGTCTTCGTGCTGGTATCGTATCGAGAGTTCACTATCAGTATTGGGGTTCTTACTGGGAGAATGAGTTGAGGAGGGGTAAATGAAATAGAAACAAACCTAACAGTTAGCAAACACAAGCACTAAGAGTTTTCGAACGAAATTGTTGGTAAGGAGTGGGATGGGAAAAATAGAACCAACAAGTCTTGAAATAATTGAAATTGGAAAGAGGAGAGGGGGAAAAATCTAAGAGTGGAGTAAAGAGCTTCTAGGAAATAGAAATAAATGTGAAGGAAAAAGGATAAGTTTGAAAATATTGGAAGGCGGACTTGGGAGAGAACAGAATTCACGATTATGTTTATTGGTATTGATTACTGGTTCTCACGGGGAATCTTATATGAGTGTCACGGGATTATTTCAGGATCTGAGTACATTTTAAACTAATCGGAAAGAAGGTATGGTAGTATCGAGAGCTGTGAGGTTATTTCCAGGAAAGTTAGTTAACAGAGCTGCAATAGTTCAGTGCGGACAATCTTGCAAGGATCTCTGCAATTGACTTCTCCTCTTCCAACACCTGGCACCCATTGACTTCAAGAATTTAACAATTTCGGTATGCCCCTCTGTCGCAGCCTTATGCAACGGATTCAAATGCATGGACATGCTAGGGTTAACAACGACGTGGCTATACTGGCTTGTAAGCAAGGCTCTCACAACATTATCGTGCCCTTTTGAGGCTGCGAGATAGAGGGGTGTTCTTCCCCGGAAGGTCCTTGCGTTGTGGTCAATATTTGACCCCCCGTACTGTAGTATTAGTTCAACAATATTAGTATAGCCTTTGGACGCTGCGATATGAAGTGCTGTGTCCCCTGCCTGGGTTTTCGCTCCAGCGTTCATTCGCGGATCCATGAGCAGCAGACTGACAGCAGGCTCGTTTCCGCTCAAAACTGCTATCATTAAGGGTGACCAGGAATTGGAAATTAAATTGGCGTTGAATCTTCC